AAAAAAAAAAAAAAAAAAAAAAGGCAGCCAAAGCGAATTCCACCTTCCACCATTCCGGCCTCTCCGGGAAACCGTGCGCGGAGCGGGAGCAGAGCTCGGGGGGGGCCGGGCCCCGACGGGGCGCCCGCATCCCCTCCCGGTGCGGGGAGGGAGAGAGGGAGGACGGGAGGGACGGGAGGGACGGGGGAGCCGCCCCCAGCCCCGCTCACCACCCACCGTCGGGGGGGGGAATGCGGTGGGTCCGGCCCCGTCCGCCCCCCGGGCCGCTGACGTCAGGGCGCCCACGGGGGCCGCGCACCGGGGGCGGGGGGCTCTGTCCGGCCGCGCGGCTCCGCGGCGGCGGGAGCGGGGATGCGCTTCCCTCCCTGCCGGCGGCTGCTGGAGGTCGAGGAAGAGGAGGAGGAAGGTCCGGCGGAGGCACGGCCGGAGAGCGATCGCGGAGGTAACGGGAGCCAGGCGGGGGAGGATGCCCGGGCAGCCTCGGGGAGCGCCGAAACTTCGGGGTTTTTTTCGTTCTTTTTCCGTGCTTTCCCCATCCCGGGGTGTGAGGAGAGGGGATCACTCCTCGGTCGCCGTGTGTCAGCGGAGGCTCCGCGTGGAGTCCTCCCGGGTGGTGGCGGGTTTCCAGGACGGGCAGCCGGACACGCATCTCTGCTGCGTGTTTGGGGTCGGAGCGGCCGTGGGTTGGGGGTTCTTCCGAACGGGGACGGTTCGCTCGTGTACCGCCATCTCCACACCTGCCGTGGGATGCGCACGTCGGAGAACCGGGATGCGCGGGGGCGGACAGCTCCGGGAACACCCCCGGAGAGGACAGAGGAGGTCTGGGGGGAGTCGGGGTCGCTGAGCAAACCTCCCCACGGGCAGCGCCTCCCCATGCCGGCAGAGGGGAGGAGCGGGGGGAGGACGGGGTGCGTGCGGCGGGGACCCCCCCATCCCTGCGAGTGCTCGGCTGACGGCGCTGTGTCTCTGTCCCCCTCCCCTCCCGCAGCTAGAGCAGAGCAGCCCCCCCGCCGCTGAGACGATGGCGACCAGCCCGCTGCCCGGCCCCACCGATATCTTGCTGCCGTCGCCGTCCAGCGCGTACCCGCCGGACCCCATGAACCAGCCGAGGGCCGGCCACGCCGCCATGAAGCCCAACCAGGTGGGGCAGGTGATCCTCTACGGCATCCCGATCGTCTCCCTGGTGATCGACGGGCAGGAGCGGCTGTGCCTGGCTCAGATCTCCAACACCCTCCTCAAAAACTTCAGCTACAACGAGATCCACAACCGGCGGGTGGCCCTGGGCATCACCTGCGTGCAGTGCACGCCGGTGCAGCTGGAGATCCTGCGGCGGGCCGGGGCCATGCCCATCTCCTCCCGCCGCTGCGGCATGATCACCAAGAGGGAGGCAGAGCGGCTCTGCAAGTCCTTCTTGGGGGAGAACCGGCCCCCCAAATTGCCGGATAACTTCGCCTTCGACGTATCCCACGAGTGCGCATGGGGATGCCGCGGGAGCTTCATCCCGGCCCGCTACAACAGCTCCCGGGCCAAGTGCATCAAGTGCAGCTACTGCAGCATGTACTTCTCGCCCAACAAGTTCATCTTTCACTCCCACCGCACCCCCGACGCCAAGTACACCCAGCCCGACGCCGCCAACTTCAACTCCTGGCGCCGTCATCTGAAGCTGACCGACAAGAGCCCCCAGGATGAGCTGGTCTTCGCCTGGGAGGATGTCAAGGCCATGTTCAACGGCGGAAGCCGCAAGCGCGCCCTGCCGCCGGCCCCGCCGGCCCCCGCCGCCGCCGCCCCCGCCGCCTGCCACCCGCTGGGCTCGGTGAAGGCGGCGGCGGTGGTGGGCGGCGGGCTGCTGAGCCCGCACCTCCTGGCCGCCCCTCCCGACCTGCACCAGAAGCGGCCGCGCTTCGAGGAGGACGAGGAGCTGCAGGAGGCGGTGGCGGCGGCGCACGGCGGCAAGAGCCCGCGGAGCTACCCCGTCATTCCGGTGCCCAGCAAGGGCTCCTTCGGAGGCATGCTCCAGAAGT